GCATGCGTGGGAGGCCATTCACCGTTCGTTACTCGTTGCTGCACAGTTTCATGGCTTCCGCCTTCCGCATGATTTGCATTGATTATTGGATTTCCGTTTCGATTTCGAACCTAGACAGGACTCACACAGTTTCATGATTTCCGCATTTCCGCTGAAACCCTAAACCCTAAACTTAAATCCTAAACCCTAAACTCGCGAGAAAAAAAGAATGGTGTGTGCTTGACTTGAAGATTTGAAATCTCCCTGAAGTTTTGAAGCCATTGCTTTCCGAATCGAATCGAAGGTAACGAGTAACACGCAACAAAACAAAACACCCGCATGTGCACGTTCTCTGTGTTTCTCTCGCTTTCGGTGCTGTGCTGCGACAGTCTGACTGAGTGCATCATGTGATGGCTCTTGTTACACATGGCAGGCTTTATCTCATGCACGTACCGAGATCGTCAGCCAACTCGAGGCACTGCTTGATCTTGAAGGACTCTTCCAGTCTTGCAGTCATGGTTTGGAACGTTTTACATTTATGCTATGTTGTGCTTGCTGGTATGCAAATGCAAATGAATGAGCGTACTGTGCGGTGTGAGTGATTGCCGAAAGAAAGCAAACGAGCAACATCCTAGATCACACCCGAACACAACATATGAGATGCCAGTGTTGAGAGGTTCATTATCCAATGATGCCGGGCCGGGTTGCGCGGAATACTCTATGTTATAGAATGAGAAGCGACTACAGTGTCAATGTTTCGCTGATGTTGACACGTACTAACTGGCAGGAATGGTTCACTTTAAGCAGGGCCGTGGGTAGGATGTGCTGGGCTCGCTTGTCCGGAGCCGAGACTTAATATTGGATTGGGTGTCTTAGATACGAAATGAAATCACCGGAGCTGAGTCGCGTTTTCAGTTGTTTGTTTGATATGCCCGGGGTAAGTCGGGACGGTTTTGGAGATGCCTCAACTTTTTTTCATATCAACACACAAACCCGGCTCAGGTCCCCCTCTTTTTACCGACCCGGCCAAAAAGTTCATTTCCCCGGCCATAATTTTCATCTCCCGTCCAAACGTTCAGTTCCCGGCTCAGCCGGGAACTGAACTTTGAAAAGGGTTTCCAGAGTGGCAAATATCATTTTGTTCCTAGTATATTCAAGGTTTTTTGGTGTTTGATTTTAAAAAACATTGATTTTTTTTTCAACAGGAATGCAAAAAACTTTGAAAATCCTTAGCAAATCATTGGATCCGTAGCGTGGAAAACCCTTTTCAAAGTTCAGTTCCCGGCTGAGCCGGGAACTGAACTTTTGACAGGGATATGAACTTTCTGGTCGAGCAATGAAAAAAAAGTTCGGGTCTGAGCCGGGAACTGATTTTTTTCGGGTCGGTAAAAAAAGTTCGGGTCTGAGCCGGGAACTGAGTTTTTTTCCGGGTCGGTAAAAAAGAAGTTCGGGTCTGAACCGGGAACTGAACTTTTTTCGGGTCGGTAAACAAAAGTTCGGGTCTGAGCCGGGAACTGAGTTTTTTTCGGGTCGGTAAAAAAAAGTTCGGGTCTGAGCCGGGAACTGAATTTTTTCGGGGTCGGTAAAAAAAGTTCGGGTCTGAGCCAGGAACTGATTTTTTCGGGGTCGGTAAAAAAAAGTTCGGGTCTGAGCCCGGAACTGAATTTTTTCCGGGGTCGGTAAAAAAAAGTTCGGGTCTGAGCCGGGAACTGAATTTTTTCCGGGGTCGGTAAAAAAAGTTCGGGTCTGAGCCGGCAACTGATTTTTTTTCTCCGGGGAAGTTCGGGTCTGAGCCGGGAACTGAATTTTTTTCCGGGTCAGTAAAAAATTCGGGTCTGAGCCGGGAACTGATTTTCTTTCGGGTCGGTAAAAAAGTTCGGTTCTGAGCACCCCGTGATGCCAGGGTTCCTCCTTTTCTGCTTCGGCTTTAGGGCTTCGGGTTTAAGGCTTTAAGGTCTCTGACGGCTGACGGTCCAAGGTTTAAGGTGTAGGGGTTTAGGGCTTAACTCAAAATGAATTCCGAAGATCATGCATATTATTTCCATAGACAAACATCTCAAACATATCATATCAATTTTATAGTTTTTCCCGATGCGACCGCACCCCGTGAAGCCGGGGTTCCTTCTTTTCTGCCTCGGCTTTAGGGCTTCGGGTTTCATGCTTTAGGGTCTATGACGGCCCAAGGGTTTAGGGGTTTAGGGCTTAGGGGTTGGTTTAGGGTTCAGGATTTTAGCTTTGCTACTTTCGCTAGCTTTGCATGTTCGACCCAAGCTGTCTTAGTACGTGTGTTGCCATATTCGCCGCATTGTTGGCAGCTGAAAAAAGCTATTGATACATGCATCCGCATCAAGGTTTTTTGGTTTTTCAGTATTTGAGAGCAGAGTGTAAACGAGCCACACAGTGTTGAAGTCACACTAGCCCGTTACCGTCTTGAACAACCGCAAAAGCAGTCTCAGCACGTTTTCTTGCCGTGTCGCCACCTTGTTGGCAGTTGAACATGCGACTGATAGGCGTATCCGCGTCATGTTTTTTTGGTTTTTGAGCAGAGCGTAGGTGAGCCACGCAGTGTTGGAGTCACACTAGCCCGCTACATTTTTTGAATGACACTAAAACACATGCTCAAAAAATACCAACCCACTCCAAAAACTCAGTTCCCGGCCGCCCCCTTGATTATGAAATTTGGCAGCCTGGAGCTGCATGAAGTGTGGCTTGTGCACGCGCGTGGCAAAGCGCCGCCAGCTACATGAGGGCCACTGCCATGCGTACGACAAATCCATTTTGGAGGGGGTTCGTGCGCGGCATCGAGAGTCCTACGAGGAGGCAAAGACTTTGGGCCATGGCGTTGATCACGACATGCTCACCCAGTTGTATGTAAACGCCGATTTGGCAATGGGAGGCGATGGTCAGCTTTCGTGACGGTTTGTAGTACGATAAACGTGAACCGGATGGGGGTGACGAAGGTCGCTGCCATCCATGATCACATGCGGGCTTTTCCTTGTCAGGTCATGTGCCTCCAGGAGGTGGACATCAACACTGCAAGTGTGGCCACTTGGACGGACGCCTGGCGAGCCCATGGTTATCATGCATTTTTGGGTGTTGGCTCTGGTGGAATACATCGTACAGCTGTTCTTTCCAGAGCACCTGGCCAGCCCAGAGTGTGGGTGACCAGTCCAGGTACAGTGCGGTGGCTCTCGAGTTTCAATTCCACAGTGGAGTTCGGAAGGTGGTGGTGGCGAGCGTGTACGGCTTTGCTTCCGATGGCGAGTCGGCGGCGAGCTATGCTGAGGAGGTCGTGCTGGCGGTCCGCGGGCTTGGCATGGAATGGCTTCTGTTCGGCGACTTCAATGTGGCTGTGGACGAAGCACCAATGGCGAGGCGCCTGGCGGCTGGATGGGCAGAACCGCTGGACTCGGCTTTCGCGGCGGAAGGGTCGTTGCCTGGCACGGCGGGCGGACACCGACGGCTGGGCTGTCGGCGGGGCGGCTGCGTCCGGTTGCGCTGGGCCATGCCGGCGGCGTGGGCAATCACACGGCGGTGAGCTACGAGTTCTCTTTCACTGACCCGTCGGGGTGTTCTGCGCCGGCTCGGGCTCCGCTCGGTGATGCTGAGGTGTCGGAGGCTGCTTGGGCGGGGCACTGGGATGCGCCGCGGTTCCGCAACCTCCTGGCGGCCAAGGACGTTGATGCTGCATGGTGCATGCTCTTCCCTTCTTCACCATGGAGCGGCAGACTGCGTGGGTCCAATCACAGGTGGAGGAGGCTGCCAGGATGGAGCTGGAGGCGGGCTTCGCTCGGTGGCGGTCCTCACTGAGTGGCTCGACTAAGAAGCAAACGGCTTGGATCAAGCGCCTCCTTGCGAACTGGTCTTGCAAATCCCAGGTGGAGCGAAGCTGAGGAGATGAGGCGAACGGCCATCCACCCGGTCGAGGTGATTCGCCGTGCTGAAGCCGAATGGTGTCCTAGATGGACGGCTGGCGCTGTGGAGGAGGGCCCTGTACAGCAACTCCTTTCTGAACTTGTGCCGCCGCCTGGGGGCGCTCGCGCTACGCCGACCTTTTCCTCGACTCGGCTCTTGAAGGCTGCTTCCAAAATGCGTGGCAAGGCCTGCGGGCCTGATGGGTGGGAGGCTTCTCATCTCCTCTTGCTGCCAGGAACGTTTTGGCGTGCCCCTGGGGATCTTTGGCAATGTGCTTTTGCCTGCGCCACTTTGCCGGCTAGATGGAGGGAAGCCCGTGTCGCTTTGGTTCCAAAACAGACGGGAGGCTGCAGGCCTATCTCGGTGCTCAGTGTGGCCTATCGCTTGGGTGCCGCGGTGTTGGTCCGGGACATGAGGTGGCGTCCACCGTCGCTCGACCCGGGACGTGTTTCTCCGCATCACCGAGGCCAGTGAAGACCACTCGGTTGTGTTTGTGGGCCAAGATGTGTCGAAATTTTACGACTCAATCCATGCTAAGCATCTGCTCCAAGTCCTTCGGCGAAGCTCCAAAGGCGAAGCCTTTGCAAGGCGCCGCCGACCCTGAATCATCGCGGGTCTTTCCACAATTTTTTTGTGGCCTTGCGTGATACGGGTGGGGCTTCAGGGCTCGCGTGGCTATCTCGGTCATTATTGGCTCTGGCAAGCGAAAACGCTGTAAATATCGAGGTTTTCGTGTGTTCCCAGCATGCCTGGTTTCGACGGTTTTTGTCGTTCAAAACGCCGCTTTTAGAGCCTTGGCGTGAGGACTTGGGGGTCTCCTGGGGGGGTGTGTGGTGGGTGGTGGTGCTCAAGGCTCGGAAGATGATATTCAAAACCCTTTCTGGGAATGTCTTTGTGTTCAAAAAGGCTGCTTCTAGAGCCTTGGAGTGTTGACGTGGGCCACTGCGGGTGCGCATCATGCGCATCAGCTGGGTGGGGGTGGCCCTCAAGGCTAGGAAGATGATGTTAAGAGCACTTTCTAGGATTTGGGGTTTCTGTTTTGAGGGCCTGCCTTCTATACCTGGAGTCAAACCTTCCCTATGATGTGCTAACTCTCGGAGAGGACAGCCTGCGCCGCCAGCACCTGGCAGAGCCCTTACATATGACATAGCACAATTTAACTAACATTTTATCACATATTTCACATATGATGACATATGCTCATGCTTCAACAGGTTTGCTAATGTTATGGAATGTGGCATAACATGGTGTTGAGACATGTATGTAAAACATACTTAAATACAACGTTGCATGATGCTACATCTTACGACGCCACATCGTATCACTTTACAATATAGCCTTGTACAATGTATTGTAGTGATCTGGTCCGAGTCACGAAAGCCGAAATCCGCTACGACCAGAAATGGGCCCTTCCGTAGGATTTGGCTAACTCGTCGTTGCTTTACGTTGGTAGTATAGCATAATAAGGTGACATAGCATTGCGTAACATCAGACCACAAAGTAAAACGCATTGTAGTTTAATGCTGTATAGTACATTTCAATATCTTACATGACAGAGCATTCCATATGTTCGATGTAGCGTTTAACGCACCTTGAATATAATGATATGCCGTGTTCCTCAAGGCATACCGCCTTGAAAAGAAAGAAACATACTCAATATCTGGCATACAGTACACAACAGAAGGTACGATGAAACTCTATGATATGTCACTACGCTACGCTATGCCGCGGTATTACATGGCACGATACGGCAAGACATGGTATGCTATGTTACAACATGGTATGATATGACCTGATATGAGGTCATCTGATACGTAAGATAAGCAATACTGATAACCGTGATAGATGCACATAATCAGTAAACCATGCTTACATTCTGAACGGCGAAGATCTGTTTATTGGCAAGGGTGAATCCACATGATCCGAAGACAAGCCCGATTTGTGTTTTTTTCAGCTTGGCAGTGGTTTCACTTACCCGGCCGGCATCGTTTCTAAGTCCCATGCGGCCGCAGCTTTCACAGACTTCGCAAAAGGGAACAAATGCAGTTCTGTGTTTGCGTGGTTTCAACATGGCCACATGAAGCAATCGCTAAGGGGCGCAATCATTGCAGATTCCGGGGGTTGCTGCTCCTCTTTCTGAAGCTGCTTCATTTTGGTGGCAGCAACTGAAAAAATCACTCACTGCACCGACTCGTGTTTGGTTTGTTCGGAAAGATTTGCTGACCTGGGCAAGCTGTTATTATTGTAACATGTTCGTTTTTGGCACAAAACCGGTGGCTCTAACCGAGGTTCTTCAGCAAGGCGGACAACTTCATCATGTGAACCTCGGCTGCGCGAGTCGTCCTGTGGTGGTCCAAACTCCAAACTGTCCAGACTCGTCACAGCATTTTGAATTCGTGTGCAAAGGTGTTACTTCGATCTTAGTGGCCGGCACCACGCTGATCCTGACAAATGCGGCTTGATTCTGTTTTGAATCAGAGGCTATCGTAACGGAGCTTCAGTAGCTGTGGTCCGTTGCCATGCGTTTCAAATCAGCATCAAGAGGAGAGCTTTGGTCAGTGCCAAGGCATTGGTGTGGGTAGTCCTGGGCTCACTCATCCGACCTGCGGACTTAATCCCCTATGCCATTATGGTTGCAGCAGCATCTTGGTTGCACCAAATCTTCACGTTTGCGTGAGCTGGTAGGTTTCGACTTTTCCCTGATTTCACCTAGGTTGCCACGATGGGCCATAGCATGCTTTCCAAGTTCCGTGGCATGAAGAGCCTTGGCCGAAAGACGGCCCGAAGAAACCGACTCTCTTCTGGCTTACCCAAACTCGGAGAGAGGAAGGGGAGCAGAGTTCGGGCTTCTGTTGCAACGCCGAGGAACTACTGCCAGTCCCAGATGGTCGACTTGCTCGATGCGGTGGGCGGGTTAGTGTAAGCTCCTCGCGAGTTAGAGGAGCTTTCGTTCCCGCTGGGAAGGCCCTGGTCGCCATCTTCAAGGTCATGGCAAAAGACAAGACGATGATGTGGCGCGATCGCACTGCCAATGATGTCCTGCCATGAAAGCTAGGAGCACCAGCAAGTTGGAACGGATGATCCAACCCTTAGGTCCACGGTGGAGGATCGGAAAGAGAAGTTCGAAGCCTTGAAGGTGTGAGAATAGTTGAACTGGAATCGGAAGCATATGTTTTAGCAGCCGTATGCATGCATGTCACGAGTTCATTGATGTGGGCTGCAGGATCAGGTTGCCAAACTGCTCCCGGACTTGGACCTACACGTCGGCAAAGCAATGGAGAAGATGGTGCCACAGAAGCACGAATTGTTAAAGCAGCCTCTCCCGGCAGTGTGCCACAACAAGTGCTTGCACAGTTGCTTCATGCTTGTCCAAATTTGGATACATAAGGGTTCGTCTCAAACGCTGCCTTTTTTGGGTAACTTATGGCTCCGGAATGGCGCACTTCTGATTCATGTGTTTTCGGACACTGGAAGTGAGGACACAATGAACATGGTGATCTTTAGTAGGGCTCCGCACGTGTCACACAAGTCCGTACAGTTGCATGGATTGAAAGCATTTGGAAGTCGGCTGGTTCGCCCCAGATTCCAGATCTGGCTGCTAGGCTACATAAACACAGGCTGATGCTGAGTTCGTGGTCATCAAACTGGTTGAGCCGATGAATCACCCAGGTGCGTGCAGGAAGGCACCGCGAAGGGACTGATGAATTCCTCAGCCACTCGTCTGTTGATTTGCCCCTTGTAGGTAAGAAGGTAAGCACGTAAGTAAGTCCTTCCCATGGAGGCGAGCGCGGCATCTGCATTTGGATTGGAATCCTTGCAACTGCTGTAAGGTAGGCTTGGGGGTCAAAGCCTGAACCTTACCGTGTTTCGGCTTCAAGCAAATTTGTCCATATCTTCCATGCTAGCACTGCGCCTCTTGAGCATAGTGCAACGACTAGCGGTAGACTATTTTTATATCATGGAACACAGCCTACTTGCGAGAGGGGTGTGCAAGACATTGATAATAGCTAGCAAGCTGCATTGGAAAACAGCTGCTAAGAGTCCCGTTTAAAGCTATAAGTTGTCCGCCGGGTTTTCGTGCAACTGAAACCTTTAGACGGACGACTTACGTACACAAAAACGGGCATTGTTCATACCGTATGAACAATGCGCGTTTCTTACCATATCCTTCATTCTGTCGCTCGATTCGGAAAAAGCTGGATGGCTTCCGTGACGAAAACGTGTCTTCTTTAGCACATACAAACAAGACATATACTCCGGAAATTCGAGTACTTCAACACCATTCGAGATAAATGTGTTACTAAGCAAACTTTTCTATATCTATAGATATACAAGCACACACATGTAAGCACAAAGTGTGTGTGTGTGTGTGCTAGAGATGCACACGCTTACACACGGAAATGCGTGTAAACACATGCATGTCAGCAAGTAAGCAAAGCACGCAAGCAAGTAAGTGTGTAAATCAACAATTACCTATATATATATATACATGTGCATATATATATATATATGTATATATGTACATATATATATATATACACATACATGTTTATATATATATATATATGTGTATACATACACACATATTATATATATATATATACATATAGTGTATATATGTATATATATATACACTATATGTATATATATATACATATGTATATATATATATATATTTATGTGTGTATATATATATATATACATTGATACATGTACATTTACACGTGTATTTCGTATGTCCATACGTATATTTTTATGTTATCATGTACGTATTTCTAAGGTACTTTTTTTATGTCCATGTGTATACATGTATATATGTATACGTATTATGATACAAAAAGTTGAGCCTCTAATTGTTATGTAGAAGTCTTAGCCTGAGCTCCCTGGTCCAAGAACATACTGCCTTCCATGATATCTATGGGGCTATTGCGTAAACTTGAAATCCATTGAACATCGCTTGCAGAGATAGACATAAACACATGTATGTTTGTATGTCCATATCTATATTATATATATATATATATACGCATGTGTGGTTTGTGAATTAAATGCTCGCACTTGAATCTCAAACCGATTCTTGATATTCGACATGGCACGGTTGTGACTTCCACTCATCGAGAAGATAAATTGAATCAGTAAAGCCGCAGATATAATAGCGTTCTCATGTCTCTGAACGACACAACAAAGAACTTCCCATTGCAACTATGCATGAGAGAAACTGCAAACAGGTGTAGTCAAGCCGCAAGAACTGTGTTCGTCGATTTTGTTTGTTTACGTTAGATGTGGAATAGTCGAAACGACATCTGTAAAGAATGACAATACGAAAGCAACTTTAGTGGATGTATAAGGTTTTCGATAGACAACGTGCTGCCCATTAGGCTGAGGGTACGGTTTTGTGAGCCATGCTATGCTGCGTGCTTTCTAAACAAGCTACATGCAAAGTATTTCTCTTACAACAGTATTTACTCGATAAGTTTCTTTGGCCGGGACAGACTTCAGCAATTTTTAGGGCTGGTCAGTTCGTGGCACTCAGAATAGAACTAGATATGTTTTGTCGTTCGTTGTTTGACTTGTAAAAGCAAATATTCAATATTTTCCAGTTTTCATATTCACTGACACCATATTTGGTAACTCTGGTTAAGCTATGGTGTATTTCAGGCTTCGACTATAATCTCACAAGGTGGCACCACTTGGACATATGGTTGTACTAGATTATACTATTGCCCGAACGTCGCAGTCACAGGACTCTCTCGGCAAGTCAAACCTAGCTGATACTGAATCAAACACAAACGTAAATATGCAGCCACTCTAATTCACCGATGGAAGCAGCACGACTTGGCAACGATACAGATTGTGTGTCCTCGAAGATTCGAAAGTAGGCGATTTGGGAAGATTGTCGAACTTGTTTGAAAGCATTAGACAAAAGATGGCGCTGGGCCGGACCTCGTCGGATTCCCCGCGCGTCTGGCAGAAAGCCAGCCCGAATTTCCGAATTGGCGCAACCAAAAGCTACCAAAACCAAAATCAAACAAACCAAGACACCAAAACCAAAAACACCTAAACACTAAAACCAAAACCAGAACCCAAACAAAAACAAAACCAAAAAAGCACAAGTCCAAAATAGAAAAACCTGCAAGTCTTCAGGAAATTATGTAATCCAGGGCTCTGGGCCAAGACTTTCTGATAACTGTTTTTTGGGTTATTTTGGTTTCTTTGGTTTTGTTTTTTTGTTTTTGTGTTTTCTTTTTTGGTTTTGGTTGTTTTGGTTTTGTTTTTGGGTTGATGCCTTGGGCTACCCTAACAAAGTGCTAGACCTTTTCGCTCCTGAATCTGAATGAGCATGCAATCCTTGTCGTCGTTGGCGTCGTCGTCGTCGTGGCCGCGCGTTCTCGGCGATCTTTCGGAGTCGTACGTGTCAGAGGCAGAAACGCAGCAGTCAAGTTTAGGCCTCGAGCCGGCTTGGGATATCGATATCACGGCGACGTCACAAGAATGGCGACCTGAAGCTAAACCAAACATGGGCGGGCGCTGCCATATGCATGTATGCATGTCTGCACGAATGAATATGAGGATGTATGGGTGTAAGGATGTATGTATGTATGTATGTATGTATGTATGTATGTATGTACTGCAGGATGCATGTTCTCCCTAAGGAAATGCTAAGGCCGCGCCGAACATAGGCCATCATGCCACAAACTGTTGCTGCTGAGAGTGTGTCAGTAATATGCCATGTGGGTATTTTACTTGTTGGGCTTGGCTGGTTCGAAGCACTAGAGGCAGGGTCGAGTCGGCATATGAGCCGTGCGCATCGTTTCCTGCCGCCTACGGGGGGACACACAGGGGCTTGTTGTATTGCATGGTATGTTCTGCTATTGCCTGGACGCTGATGATCTCACAGCATCGTGAAGTGGAGTAATTAGCGAAGGGCACCTAATCAAGGTGTGCAGCCTCCGTTGCGGCGTGCGAAGGACAAGTATGCAACGCATGTTTGCATGTATACAAGTATACATGTATGCACGTGTATGTATGCATGCATGTAAGCCTGTGTGTATGCACATACATACGTATCTACGTACGTAGGCATGTATTTATGTATGTATGTATGTACTTAGGTATGTACACGTATGTATGTAGCTGTTATTTAACTGTATATGTCTGTATGCATCTGTACGTGCATGTGCATGTTTAGGAAATGGTAGCAGGTAATGGGCCCTGTACTTGGTAATCGGTCATTGGTGATGTATAAGAATGGATGTATAGATGCCTAGATGTAACAATGTATGTATGTATGTATGTATGTATGTATGTATGTATGTATGTATGTGTGCATGTGTGTGTATGTATGTATGTATGTATGTATGTATGTATGTATGTATGTATGTGTGCGTAGATGTCATGCATACATGCATTCATACATGCATACATGCATACATGCATGCATACATACATGCATACATACATACATAGATCATGCATACAAATAGATACAGTTGCACAGATGCATGTGCACACATATACAGGTACGCATATGCATGCACATCTACTTGTACAAATACTCATATAAGCCGTATGTTGGAACTGTATACTTACTGACGGCCGTTGCAGTGGCATAGTTAACGTCGGTGGCTGCGGCTGAGGCAAGCTCCACCTTGACCCCGAAGCGGGCACGCAGACGCAAGTGGTTCCCGCGACGGCTCAGGTGCATGTGCGAGTCAGAGCTATAATTTGAGATGCCAGGGGGCAGGGTTGGTTATAATGTGGTGCTTCAGCTTTAGGTTGTACCCCATTAGGCTGCGCAGGCTTGCCGCCCCAGACTTCATCGACCTAGCCTGTGACGGCATATCAAGCTGGCTTTCGTTACCTATTTCTGTACCTGTTCATGTGGTCACGCTGATGATGACGACGGGTTTTCCCTCGTTCTACGTTCCTGCTGTATGCAGGGTGGCATGCTGGTGTTCGGGGCAGTATGGCCCGTATGCCGACTATAGTTCTGACTCCGCTGTTTTCATCACCTTCCTGACTCTGCAGATCCTCCTTGAAGCATACGCGTGTGTGCACGAGGGAGGTGCAGGCAACTCGTTTGCCAGAGTCCTTTGGACCCCGGTCGCTGCTGCGATCCTGTTCTTGCTTCTGCAGACGACGTGGGCAGCAACCTGAGTTTTGTAGTGCAATATAGTATAGTTTGTTATATTATACTATATTATAGTATATTGGAAGTGTCCACATCCGCAAGAACAACCCCGGCCAGGCTGCCACAGACGCCAAAGTCGAGGCGCAGGAGTAATTGAGCACCATGAATTGAAATTACGGGATGTTTACGAGCGGGCCTGACAGGCTTTGTTGTATATGGCCTCTTTTCGGCATATACCCCAAATAATAGAGGGAGCCCCGATGTCGTGGGTTTAGGCTTGAGGGAAGTTTCCTGTATGACAGTGAGCGCTAAAACGGGCTTCAGTGTTTAGTTTCAGATGTGGACTCGCTGGAGGTCAGCAGGAAAGTATTCTGACACATTAGGGCCGAACCTGTCGTGTTCTCAACTGTTTCAAGCTGTGCTAGGACAGCCAAGCCGGCGAACTCCACATGCAGCCGGCCACGGCATCGGCAGAACACAAGTCAGCTGACAAGGAGAGGGAGCGGAAGGCGTGGTTTCTGCTGGAGCAGCGGTTGAGCCTGAGCACTGCCGTGAGTTCTTTGCCATTCAGAGGTGAAGAAGCTCTCCAAACACTTGGCACTCCACTCAAAAACCGTGAGGCACCCAGGATGCCCAAATCCAGCTCTGGCATTGGCAAAGACACGGGTTTCCTGGCTCTCAGGTTGAGCTCATGCTAGACTGCTTTGAAAATCGGGTGGTCCTCAAGCGCTTGAGCATCTCAGCCGCAGGGCTCTACGCATTCACACTATGCCCTGCTAGCACTCGGCTTTCCCAGGTGACAACGCTGCAGCTCACAGCAACAGCTCGGAACCATGACCGCCTTATGATTTTCCATGAGTTTCCCGAAGTCAGCCGGCATTCGGCCTTCCGGCCGTTCCACGAGTACATCACTATGCATACTATGCCAACATATGCCAACCAAGGCATCTACTCTGGCTTCGTTGGTCTCTATAGCAAGGAGAGACTGTTTGCGGCTTGGCTGAAAGGAGAAGAAAACGAGGTTCGAGCAATCATCACTGCAGAAGAGACTGCTTTTCTTGCACCCACCAGTTACATTTAAGATCAGCATGGCTGCAAAACGAGGTTTGGACATTTTCTGAGACCCCTGGAGGCCGAGTTTCTCAAGCACAATGCATCTTGCGACATACTTTTTGTCACGGCTTCTCGCAACAAAAATGAAGGCTCCCGGCCTTCCGAAGGATGCTCCCGAGACAGAGCCGCGAGTGCTGTCGCTCCTGTGCCACTTACAAAATGAGGACCATCACTTGGCTGATGCGACGAGACATGGTTCTTCTGTTCTGTGTGTGTGTATACACATGTACACAGACACATGCACACACACACAC